ACTTGAATTTTTTTGACACTTTTGCAGATGTTCTAATGTCATTCTGCTTACTTTGAAACGCCCTTCACTAATTTTAAAAATGTTTTCATAGCAGGAAGTAAAGGTGTAAAAAAAGCAGCTGCGTTTTGAGAGAGTCGAAGAGTGAAGACGGGGAAATGACTGAAGTTACCCTTGGAATAGAATATCTACCCGAAAAGCTGGTAGTTTTACAACTTAAAAAAGCCTTCAAACTGGAAAGCGTTTTTTTTTTTTTTTAAGTGATTGCAGCAGAAGTTTTCGGGGAAAATGTGAAGTAAAAAAAGCTTAAGCATTCCAATGGAATCAAGAAAGTTTGGGGCATCTTGCTTCAGTGGAATTTTGCCAGTTATTTTTTGTTGAGCATATATGCACACGTCGAGTATTTTAGTTTTTTTTAATAGTATAGACAAAAAAATTATTCGTTTTATATATACGTATATATACATATATAACCCATACTTGTTTATAAAGTAATGTCTTCTTAGCAAACTTGGCCTGGAGTATTATTCAAATGGTCCTGCGTTTTATCCAAATTTTTTGGTGACCTTTGTGTTGATTTTATTCTTCCCTTCGTGTTGAGAATGAATTTTAAATTTGTTGATTGTGTGTTTGCATTATTCAACTGCTTTGTGTAACATTTCTGTATCGTTCGTATCGATAGCGGTTTCAAAAGGGGAGTGGATTTCGCGACAGTTTTATCAGTTGCTCTTGTTTTTGCACCTTATTGATAGTTGCATTTTCCTCTGCAACTGTTCAGCTGTTGTTAATATTTTCTTGAACCAACTTTCGTTGCGATGCTGTTTTCAGTTCCGTCGCACAGTGATCTCAACCTTGATTTCGTTTGGTATTTGATTCTATCCGGAACCACGTTTTCTTTGTTCCGCCATGTTAAAAGACGCAGCATTTTTGATACAGAGCGGTTCGTTTGGGAAGTAAGTTGTTTGAAAATAGTTTTTTCTTGCTATTTTCTTTATTCTATTGTTTTTTTTTTTTTTTCTGCAACAAATAACGATTTGTTGGGTTGACGCACGCATCTGTCGTTTTGAGGCCATTGATGTAATGGAAACTGCTTTTAATTTCTTCTTTGTTCCGTATTTTGGCAGCTTTTTTTTTGGTTTTATCGGGCTGATGATTTCTGAGGTTTTCAATAGCTTTCAAACTGTTACTTCATGATTTTCTCGGTCATGATGACCGTATACTCTCTAATGGAAAGTCAATATTATTTCGTTTTTAATTAGTAGATAAGTTTTGAGGAATCTGTTGTGTTACTTTTTAATTTTTTGGAGGAAATGAGACTCACAATGCGGTTCAAAATGAGAAGTAACTAATGTGTGTTCACTTTTTTGGGGGAGGGGGGGGGTTGGTTTCATTGTTAGAAGCTTAGAAATTAGTCGAATATACAAAAGAAATTAAGATTTTACAGTCAATGGAAAGAAAGATGTGGGGCAGTTTTTTTATTTTTCTTATGATTTCTCTTTATATGCAATCTTTTTATATATGGCATTTTTGTTTTAAAAAAAATATTTATTTTATCATTTATTTTATTATTTTATTATTGTATAAAAGATTTTTTTTTTCAGTTTTTATTAATATCTTTATTGTCCCTCTTTTAAAAAGCATAAATTAAATTTATTGAAGCACATATATTTCTATTATCATTTGAGAGTCTGTCGTTGCCAGCTCAGTAGATGGAAGAAGAATAGTGGACAGCGTTAGCGAATGCTTTGTTGAAATTAACCGCAACCACAACATAGGGAAAGCAGTTTTGGCGGTGACTGCGCTTGGCTTCACAGTTTTTCCTCCTTTTTTTTGGACCTGTAAGCATATAGACTTATTTATTTCCTTTATCAACGAGATCATAAAAGTTAGTTAGCTTTCTCAATTGTTTTTTTTTTTTTTTTTTTTTTTTTTTTTTAAAGTTT